TGGTTAGGAGTATTTGTCTAACATACTACTTTTGTGTTCTATTTTTTCTTACTAGATGCCAATAGTAGAGAAGAAAATATATAAAAAGTACTAGTTACAATACATGCATTTACTTAATTCATTATTTAACGATTAAAAAAAAATGAAATGCATGTGCCGCCGCAAAGTTCCAAATGTTCTATAACTATAAACTTTTGGGAGCTTTAATGAAAAGGGTTTGGGTTAACAAATATTTAACCAAAAATCATCCTAAAATGTTATTTAACCAAAATGGCTTAAAGTTTAACAAAAAACCATCCAAAACTAAGTGTTCACCAGCACAGCGCCGCCATAACCCCCGCCAAGAACGACAACGACAACAGCAAGACAGGGGATCAAAAATTGGATCTGGTGAAATCGGGCATTGAATTGCAGTGATTTCAATTACCTTGTGAGTGTTATGTTTGTGTTTGAGAGTCTGCCTATAAATTGTTTGATGAAATGCCTGCATTGTTGTAGACATTAATGTTTGGTACTGTTGTGAAATGTCAAAAACCTTTGCTTAATTCAGTGTTTGTTTGGTATGTGTTTGTTGTAAAAGGATGAAGGCTGCGGGATTGCTTGTTTTCGACCCACATATATTACAAGGTCTTCTGTTTAAATTCACCTTGTTGTACCTTTTTTTTTATTAATTGTCAGCAACCTCAAAACAGCACGAAAGCACCAAAATAACTCCATGTCTTCCTATCAAATCGAATTCCCCCATTTCAAAAACAACCAAATCAAAGTTCAAATCAAAGCTGAAAAAGGAAGCATTCATTGGAACAATGCCGCCGAAACAAGTTCAAAGAAATTTAATGGAAGAAATAGGCGAAAAAGTGTTTGGAAAAAAAAAAAGGAACCAAAACATTAAACTGTTTTTGGAGAACTTAAAACATAACACTGTTTCTCGAGAAAAAAAATTAGATACAATGTTTGTTTTGTCTGTGCACAAACAAACACTGTATCTGGAAAGAAAAGAATCAAAACCCAAAAAAAGTGACTTAAATTCCAGAAACAATGACTTAAATTTCAGAAACAATGATTTAGATTCCAGAAATGGTTTATGTTTTAACCTTTGATTGTTTCTTTTCTTTCATGCATCAGCTGATTATATTTAAGAAACATGATGCTTATTTGCTTTGAATCCACACACAGTGAATTTCACTATTTCTTTTCTAACTTACATTTAAGAAACAGTGTGTCTATTTCATTTGGATTCAGAAACAGTTACTTAGATTCTAGAAACAGTAACTTAGATTCCAGAAAAAGTGATTTAGATTCCAGAAACAGTTTATTTTTACAATCCAGAAATAGTGACCCGTTGTTATTATTGAATAACATGCATATCTCAAATTTATTTTTTGGAGAAACAAACGATGAACTCCATTGACGAAGAAAAATTGAAAAACAGTACCTTGAATACACTATGAATAATAACGACGATTACATTTCAATGAAATAATAAAAAGTATAAGTTAAATAGCATGAGGATCTATATTTTTGTTTCAAAGAAAGGAAGAATGTCTGCAAAACAATGATGAACTCCATTAACGACGAAAATTTGGAACTCAGTCTAAAAAAGTTAGGGGTAAAATCGACAAATCATAATTTATTATAGTTGGGCCATTTTTAGTTGGACTACTTTAATATGGGCCTTATACTAATCATTAAACAAAACTTCTAACATGATTTTATTTATTAAAACTAAAACTTTTCAAGCCATTTTCAATAGTTTTCCTTTGGAGCATTAATTTGCACTCACTCCCTTTTCAATTCATGCATTTAGCACTTGTTTTAAATAGATGTAAAATTTATGCAAACGCTTGTTTATTTTTATTTTTTTTACAAACGATAGCGTTAGTGGATTAAATAGTGCATAAGCATGATTTTTACTATTGCGATAAAACATTATTTACAAGTATTAAGTAGATTGATTGGAGGAGTACACTTGTGTACTCAAGTTTCGTTATATTATAGTTTATATAATATTAGAATGTAGCTCTAATGATTATGAGTATTTGTCTTACATGCTAGTTTTGTGTTATATTTTTTCTTCCCAGGTGCCAATAGTAGGGAAGAAAATATCAAAAAAGTACTAGCTACAGTTCATGCATTTACTTAATGCATTCATCATTTATCAGTCAGGTATTGACACATCCCGTCCCGAAGGAGGGCGTGCTGGCCGTCACATGAGAGTGACGTAACCATTTACACAGTTCGGAAGCTTTAGAGATACAATTACTAAGATATAACACCCGGGGATGAATCCTACTTTTGTGAATTCTGTCAGAACACCGCTGGATTTCTCATAGCCACCAAAGCTCTGCTAACTTGAACCTGGAGGGGCGCAAAACAAAATTGAGTGGGTCAGTAAAACAAAGTTTCTCGAAAACCTTTCACTTCTTTCACTTAAAACATTTTAACCCCTCGCTGTAAAACCTGTATACTTTCCCAAAAAAAAATAATAGTATATAAACATATATATACACATATCATCAAAACTTAGCTCATATCCATCAACATAACATCTCAGAAATAATATGCCACGCCATGCCAAATATAATCAGAAATGCATCAATATCAATTAGGTGAAATAATAAATCAACCGGAGACCCTACAATGGTCCTGTACGGCTGATTCTAAAGCTCAACATCCCACTCAGCTGGAGTCACCACAATGACCTATACGGCCCTACCGGAGTCACCAACTGTGACCTGTACGGCACTACACTGCACATCACTCGGAACTACGTATAGTAGTCTGTACGATGAAAGGTGTATAAATACGCTCTAGTGCTTCTCTCATCAATCATCAGAGCGCATAACTAAGGTCACCCACTAGTCGGAATCACATCTAGTGATCTATACGACTAGCATGTCGGAACCCTCACATGGTCTATACGACATCCACCTACTTGGATCCAAGACGAGCGTGTGGTGTGGTGAATAATATAAGCACTATCACCTAGGGTGCAGGTTATGAGCTTTCAATGCCATTCATATAAAATAACTCAGCTGAATAATAATAAAACTCACATGTGCGTCCACCGCGTCAATTCACATATATATGCATCAATTATCAAACTAAATATCTCAACAATTGTATGCATAGCAAATTAATTCATAACTTTCATATAAACGCATTTTCTGGGAAAAACAGTTGTATATAGGTAATACGAAAACAAAACTACCCACTCACCTGGAGTTCGCCCTACAACTCCCTAGCACAATACGTCAAGGCGTCATGACGATCGGCGCCTAAAACAATAACCAAATCCAACCTCAGAATTCATATCGATAGAATATATAACTTATATAAAATACATCACTACGTAGTTCGATCCGAAAGATCTGCAACTCAGATTTTAAATCCATAACTTCCAGAGGTCCACAATATATCTCTAGGACAACATCCTAAAATTTCATTACCATCCAACGGTCGGATCTCCGTCAATTTCCAAAACTAAGTGACTGTTAACATTTTATTTTATGAACTTACAACTCCAATTCCGGAAGATCCGTAACACGGATTCCCAATCCGTAAGTTCCTATAATCCTCAAATATTACGTATTGCAACGTACCAAAGTTTGATGACGATCCAACGGTTGGATCGTAAATTCACATTTTCGCCTAACCATGAATCTTAACCAATTTTAGGTTCAATTACTCAATTTACGTCCAACCATTATCAAAACTGAACCTAGAACCTTAAACACATGCTAAGAATGACATTGGCGGGCCATTGGCCACGTGCCGCCGCACGGGCCACCACGGTGAATACTATATAAACGTTATTTAAAGCATATAACCAACAATTCTCAATAACTTCTCATACGGTGCTCAATTTGAGTATATGAATATACCACAACGACCTACTCGACGTCACGGACGTCGACATATTTTTAAAATAATTTTTTGATGTGGCACGTGCCCCCACGCACCAAGGACAGGCACGGTACATGCGCGGTTACGCGCAGGCCACGCGCCGCGCGTGTCATCTTCCTCACTGGGCTCGTCGGACTGGTTTTTCCGGTGGCCGGATTCTGGCGAGTTTTGTAATTCTTTGTTCTCCTTCGTTTCTTAACCGTTTTCTTCGAATTTTATATCAATTTGAAGCCCTCAACATGAAGTTTCACGCTATACTACTTTAAAGCTCTAAAAATCACGAAATCTCAAACGAATGTCCAAAACCCCCAAACGAACTCGACGATCCCGACGTCCAAAACCCCCAAACGAATGTCCCCGAGCTTCCTTAGAACCTCCTAAAGCTCACTGTGAGCTTGGATTGTCCTAAAAATCAACCAACACAAAGTTCATGAATAATGCCACATTCGGTCATCGAGTTTTGAACGTGAAAACGAAGGATTTCTTACCTGAAAATGGTATCTTTGAGTTCGTATGACACTCACGAACACGATGATGCTAATCTCCACGTCGATCCATGAAGTTTTGAAGGTTTTGTGGGGTGGTCCGTACGTTCGAGGGTGAGAGAGAGAGTGAGAGTCGTGAGGGAAGAGAGAGAGAGCACGGGTGAGGGAAAGAAAGGTCCTGCGCGTGTGTGTTGTGTGGTCCAACCAAAACCGTTCACCATATTATTCCCTAGCCACACAAATCTTAGTACCCGCTAAGGGTACTTTCGTCATTTCACGCTCCCGATATAGAATTTTCGGGACGGGCTGTGACAGGTATGCCAAAAAAAAAAAAAAAAAATTCATATACCGTACAGAAGTCCCAAATTTTTGTTTTTATAACAATAGGAATTTTAGGAGCATTAATTTGCAGTTAATCCCTTTTCAAGTCCTGCATTTAGCACTTCCCGTTAAAACTAAAAGAGAAAACTGATAGAGTAAAATTCCTTAACGGATAAACTGAAGTACTGAGAACCCAATTAAAAGAAAAGCAATTTGCTGGCGTTAAATGGGGAATTAAATTCCCAAATTAAGTAGCAAGATTAGTCTTTTGAGTTATTGGTACACATCACCATTCTAGCTCAAATTTCCAGGTTCTCTAGTTGCATTCAGTCTTTATTTTGTGGGAGAAAGTCGTGACGATCTTGAATTAAAGAAAAAAAAAGCAACATATGGCATTGGGATATTCAAAGCCAAGTTCAAAACTTCTCTGAAAATGTCAACTATACCTAAAAGAAATGTGTACAAAAGTTGCAACACATACATGAAACTCAAAGAGCGAGGAAGCCTGAAATTGATCGGTTAAAAGGGATGGCTTTAAATTTAAAAAAGAAATTAAAAAAAAAGAAGAGAAAAAGATAAATTGAGAAAGAGTTTAGAGCTTGAGGGACAAGTCAAGCTTCTGCAACTCATCTTGTTTAGCATTAAAATGGCCAGCAGCACTATTAGTCCACCACAACCCTCCAATTCCTTCCGCCACCGGAGAAAACTTCCGACCATTAGTACTATAGGAAAACCTTCCAACGCCACCACTCGATGGTGAGGAGGAGGAACCTACGCCGCCCTGCACATGAAAAACATTGTTGGGTGAAACAAGCCGCCCGATTGCATGTTGATGATCAATAGGCCGTCTAAACCACCCATAGTTACCATTATTATTCTCACCAAAGGTGTTTGATTGGTAACAAGGCTTGTGAATTGTGGAATGCACTTGAATACCAAGTGACCTATCATTGAAGGAGCCATGCAAAGGGAGAGAAGCCATGCTGGAGAATCTGTGTGAAGAGAGTAAACTTGGAAGCCTCATCAAGGCATCCTCTGCTGCTGCAGTACAATTACTCTTTTGCCCTTTTTTGGCAAGTGTTCTTTCTCTCTTATGAGCATTTTGGTGCCCTCCGAGAGCTTGTGAACTGTAAAATTTTCTCCGGCAATAATTGCAGGAGAAAACCCTTGGCTTGAAATCAGTAGTAGCAGTAGTAGTAGTAGTAGCACCTTTGGGACTGGAAGTCTCTGATGAAGAGTTTCTTGATGTGTTGTTTGAATCAAAACAGTTGATGAGGTTGAGTTCCGGCTTCGACCCATGATCAGATTTCTTGTTTGAGAGGCTTAGATCCAATGCAAGATTACGGATTTGATCTTGAGGGTGTCCTTGGTGATGATCTTGTACAGATGGTTGCTTTTCTGCACTTGGGGTTACCATATTTGGGCCTTCGAGTAGGTTTGGTGGTAGTGGTGCCTCTGAGCGTGGGAAAATGCTTGAGTTTTCAGAGAGGGATGGATCAGATGCATGGGGCTTCATGAGGAAAAGATGTGAGAATTTTTTCCTTCTGGGGTGATGAGATTTGAGGAGTCTAAAATGATGGAGAAGAATATGTTTTGATATGATAGTAATAAATGCGGTGTCCTACTCCTATGTATAGAAGGATAGACCACTGTTTTACAGTTAAAAGGTCTCAATATAGCAAGACTTAAGGAATAAGAAAGTAATATTGAGAGAGGGAGGGTCCTATAAAGTATTGTGATTGAAACTAATGAGAAACATCCATGTAGCTCTTTTTTCTTGCATGTACCCTCTCTAATAAATGTTTCTATTAACTTTTTGTTTGTCTAATTTCCACTCTTGTCTCGTTAACATTTCTTGTTTTTAGGGGTTTAACCTTTTCTAGGTATACACTATGCACTCATGGATATAACTTATGGTAGACTAGAGATCCAACAAGTAATCTTTTTTAGTTTCCTGAATTATGCAAGAGTAGATTGGATGATTTATTAGTTATATAAAATTCAATGTAAATTAAAAATGAAAATGACCTGACTCACTGTTCATAAGCACAATTTAGTTCCAATTTTTGCCTACTTAGTTTCTTTTATTTTATTTATGCCACAAACGAAATTGGCCCTTGGAATCACACTCACATGTCACTACGGATCCACCTCTTCGTTCCTGCTCCATTTCCATTCCAACATAAAAGCTCTTTCTTTCATTGTTATGTTTACTATACAAATATTTTACTTACCAGTAAAATGCAGTTGATATATGTGTTTGCAAAAATCAGCCATCCTCTGCCTTGGCAAATTTGTACTTGCAAAACAAACAAATACCTTTGACCAAAGACCAAACCCACACGCGCCCACGAGGGAGGGGGGTTTGGCCAATGGATTTCTGATGCCTAAGTCAATTTTTCTGAATATAGAGAGAGCTTAAGGCTTGATTACGTAACTAAAGCTTACTAGAAATTGGTGGAGTATGTGGTATTTATAGAGCTAGGGCCGCCACATGTGTAGGGTTTGCCCTGACATGTATTGACGTCTGATTGGCCAAGGTGAGTCATCTATTGGACAGATGAGAAAGAATTATTCTAAAGACATTATTTTATAAATAATATCTTGGGACTATCTAGTAATATCCTTGATTGGATATGATTGTGATTCCTTTCTTGATGGAGTTGACCTTCATGATTTATTAATTAATCATATTGTTAATACCTTTGACTTTCCTCCTTGTCATGGGCATGAGGACTTGATGAGGTTGTAGTCAGCTGCTTAGGCCTTCAAGGATGTTGAAATGCGCATGGATTAAATGTGGGACTCGCCAATTTAATAAGGGCATTCTCGTCTTTCGCTAGCATAAGTTCATGTGTCGGCTCCAGGAGTTTTTAGATTATTTTTGCTCCACAAGTGCCCCCACACATGCTGTGTTGCCCATAGGAAAGGGCAGGAGGTGTAAAAATCCCAATTTGAGTGGTAATCCAAAAAGTTGTTTCTTGATTTGCCTTAGATTCCGAGATTTGACTTGAAGTTAAAGTCTTCTAGGAAAGGGAAACCAATTGCATGTAGAACTTATTTAACTTTACCTTAAGTAGAGAACTAAATAAATTTAGAGAACAATTATACTCCCAACAAGAAAGAGAGAATACTAGAGGAAATTGTACCCTATCCCGTAGTCTTCTTCTTTGCTTGCCCTGCGAATAGTTGATCGTCATTGTCTTCTCCTCCGTGCCGCACCAAGGGTAAGAAAAAATAAAAAAAATTTCTCTTTTTTTTTTTTTGGTCCTACGGCTGGACTAGAGCTGCGGGGCTGCTGGCGTGGCTTAGTACGAAGCCGAGAAGGTGGATGGTGCGGCTGGAGCTACGGTGTCTAAAGAAGGTTGACTCAACTAGAGCCAAGGTGCTGATGGTGCGAGCTAGGGCTCAGCACGTGGCTGGTGTTGCCCAAATGTTGGAGGTAGAGCGTTGTGTTAAGCCTCGGTGCGCTGAGCTTGCCCGACATACTTTTTTTTTTTAAGAAATAATATTATCTACACTAAGGGGAATAGGTGGATTAATCCTCACAATGGGCTACCAACAAGGTTCTAAAAAATGCTAGGCGCTAGTCGGGGGCAGGCTGGGGCCTAGCTCTCAGGCGGCTAGGCCGGCTGCTAGGTGGACTAGATGAATTTAAGTAAATCTATTGTATTTCGTATAAATAAGCATCTGCTTATACTTGAAATATATATAATTTCATCATAAACTACAAAATAGAATGACATATATATTATGAAGTATTGGACCATAATGATAGCATGGGGAAGAAGAATATAATGTGTGTTTATTTAAGTATGCAAAAAGCCTATTACAATTTACTGAAAAATAAAATAAAATAAAATGCAAACTGAAAGTTATCTATTATTTGTCTAAGTGAGTCGCGACCAAGGTGGGTCTAGGTGGGCTAGTGAGGTGCCTAGGCAGGCTAGGCAGGTGTCTCAGCAGGTTTAGGTGTTTTTTCTTAATTTTTAAATGCCTAGGCATTATTCGGGGCAATGGCCAGCCGCCTAGCGCCTAGGTGGGGATTTTTAGAACAGTGGCTACTAATAATGTGGTTCAAATTCACCTTTGGTGAGAATCGAACTTAAGACCTCTCACTTACAAGCTCGCCAACACATTTAAAAGAAGGAAAGAGGAGACGATGCTGAGCCTCTATTAAATTAGGCTGATATAGGAAATAGGCGTGGGCTTGGGTTGGGCGTGGGTTAGGCCTAGCGCTGGGCTTGGCCTACCTGCTGGAGAGTCAGACTATTGCTGTTGCCTTGGGTCGTGGGGTGTTGAGTTGTGGTCTGGCATCGCATGCTTTTTTTATATCTCATTCGAGTAGTCTTCTGAGTATTTCTCTGGTATTTTTGCGGAGGACTTTTTCAATATTCCTTGATACAGCTACAAGATCAATGAATATCCTTCACCCAAGTATTGTTAAGGCCGGTTTTCTAGTAAAGTTGGCTACTTTAAGGCTACTTTTGTTAAGATAGGTTCTAAGGAGTTGTTCCACGAGTTCCTTGAGATGTACAAGCATGCAAACCCCTCCAAAGTTTGTATGAAATGAGTGAAGGAAGCAGTCATGAACTATATGTTTAGGCTACTAAGGCAGGAAAGAGAGCCATTAAGTTCCATCCATACTACTTCGTGCTCGAATTCACCCTTCATCTGTCACGCTTCCTTTAATAGGGGATCTGTTCTATGAGATGTACACATGCTTACTACTCCTCGAATGCAGTTTGTGCGGTAGTGGGGTTCTCGAACTTGAGCAAGTTCTTTGATCTAGGCTTGACCATTAACAAGTTTTGGCACTTCTGCGAGATTGGCCACAAGGATGACGTAAGGCAGTTGAGGTCTCGCTATAAGATTTTTTTACTCTTCGAGCAAGGGTGGTCATGAATAAGCTAATGACACTTTGGAGGTCAATGGAGAGTGGGAGTCTGACTCTTTGCCTAAGTTGCGTGTCCTAACTACATTCAGTCTTTTGTTTGGAGTTTTTTTGTTGAGCTGCTCTTGACTTCAAGTTGTTGAATGTCTTTTTTTACTTTCACAGAATGATTTAAGTAAAATAAACTTAGCAAAATATTTCTTAAGGCATCTAAGTCCTTCCAAGAATATATAGGCACATTCTGCCTCACATTGAGCCAGGCCACTATGCATTGCATTGCAGAGCATGAAAATTGTTGTGAGCATGCAATTGAGCCAAATCATAAATAACTCCTCAAATTGTTGTCGAAAAAATGAGAAGTGTATCAAACTCTGTTATAAGGTAGGAATTGCAAAAAAACTTGAATAATCATTGACATGCGAGGTCTTAAATAATCCATTCACTACTTTATCCTGAATCTACCTTCAATGGGGGCGATATGGCCTTTGTGAAGGGAAATCTTAGAGATTAATATGGGATTTCGAAATGACTAGCATGCATATACAATTCAAAATTAATATACATAAGCAACAGAAGCATGTTATCAAATAATATCAAAGCTATAGTCATGCAAATCCCCTTCAAGGTTCATAGGTTTATATATAATGCATCTAAAACATTTAAGTTAAGAACAAAGTGAAGGAATAGATCTATACCTCTTGATCTAGATTTTAGACCAAGGATGGACCACCTCCAAGCCCTTTGCTCCTTGAACTCCTTGAGCCTAGCCTCCCTCCTTGCCTCCTCCACTTTGTTGGTAAGAGTGCTCCTAGGTTCTCCTTTAGTCTCCAAAGGAGAAGACCTCTAAAGATCCACACCCACTAGTGTAGTGAGATGGATGGAGGAATAACCAAAAGAGTGAAAAAGGATTAGCTAAATCACCCTTAAGGTGGCCGGCCTTTGTGTAGTTTTAGAGAGATATTTCTTTTGCCTCTTTGTTGTTTTAAACACACAAAAACCCTAAGGAATAAATCTCTATAAAGTTCCTTATATAGACAAAAAGAAACCTAGTCAACAACTTGACTTAATATCTCTCCCTCTCCACTTTAAATGGCCGGCCCCTTTGTGTTGGTTTGGGCTTTGGGCTTTTATTTATTTCTACTCATCCAATGCTTGAATAAAAGCCCAATGGGTTTAGGCCCAATGGGCCCAATTAAACCCGAACGTTTCTTTAAGCCCAAAACGATCTTTTATCGCTTTTATCATTTCTTTAGACTTTCTAAATTAATCACAACACTTAATTAATCCAATTAATTATTTCCATCATCCATTAATTACTCACCACAAGAGTGTATCGGTGTACAATCATTTTAGGTTCTAATTAGCAAGGTAGTGAGGTGATTGACATCAATCCAATTGATTATATTTAATTCAATCACTTAGTGAATTAAAACTTCCTTTTAATTCACCTTCTTCTTTGATGACTACATTTAATCATCTAGAAGAACTCACAGGCTATGAGTGACATCTAACCATATATCATAGCTACCCAAGCTAATGTAGAAGTTGTTCGCAGAACCTATTCAGTTGGAATTACAATGTAATTCGATCATTCTCTAAAACAATACTCTCAATCACATTACTAGGGTATGGATATATTATGTCAAACCCCTAATGTGATTACTCCTTCTTATATGATTCAATTGAGTCGTATAGGAACGCTTTCCTTTATTACGCTAGATACTTCGGCTGAAGATTCCCGAATCATATCTTAGAGTATTCTTCCTCTCTTATCGA